GATTTGAACAGCCGAACTGCAGATAACAGTCAGCTGAAGTGGCTGCAGTACAGCACTCTAACCACTGCGCCACCTCGTCTCAGGAACTTGCATACCAATTGCAGCGATTCACTTAACTATGGCAAGAAGGGTCATTAAAACGGGGGCAAATCTCCCTTAACAAGCGTCTCACTTAACGATGGGAATTTTGGGCTCGATTGTGGTCACATCAAAAAAAATCAGGCTGCAGCATAATGTGGAGTTAGCTTCCAGTGTTTTCCCCACTGAACAGATCCACTCTCTTCTTGGCATTTGGGTAAAAATAAGAAATCGTATTTTTATTTTTTACAATTTTTTAAACATTTTTATTAAACAAACAACACACACACACACAAAATCATCTTCCATTACATCTTGTAGAAAGTGTGTCAATTGGTTACAATTAGCTTTCCTGCATTTCTTCCACAATCATTACTTACATTCACATCAAATGTCAAAGTTCTTAATGAGTCTTACTTTCAACATATCATAGTTCTCATTTGACTGAAATTGTTTTAGTGTCCTAAAACATATTTTTAATGTTAACAAGGAGAAAATCTTAGGTTTTTTTTTTTTAATAACAACAGATGAAGAAAGTCTTGGTTAAAAAGAAAATAAAATCCTTACAGGTTCTAGATTAGAGGCATGATTTAAAAGTGAGGTATTCAATTACATTCCAGGTGCAATCAGGGACTCCCAATTTGATTTGATATCTCCCAGATGGTGGGTGGGAGGGAGGGCACTTCTACTCTATAGAAATCTATAGTCCCCAAATTCTTAGCAACGGGCCACACTGACAGAAGAATTCTGGGAATCGAAGTCCAGAGTCTCAGAAGTTTTGTTAATGGCCATGCTACTGGAGAATTCTGGGAACTGAATTCTGAATTACCGTATTTTTCAGAGTATAAGACGCATTGAGATTTTGAAGAGGCAAATTTTTAAAAAAGTTTTTGCACTCTGCAGACCTCCCAAAATTTTTTGGGAGGTCTGTTTTTTGTTTTTAAAAAAAGCATGCATAGCCTTAAGGGGGCTTGTAGAGTGCTCCTGGGGGCTGGGGGGCAAAAACGAGCAAAAAAGGGCCCATTTTTCACTCATTTCTGCCCTCCCCAGTACCCTGGAAGCCTCCTAAAGGCTTTGCATGGCCATTTTGGTGAAGGAGGCGGGTTTTCGGGAGGCCAAAAATGCTGTATTCAGTTTATAGGACGCATCCAGATTTTCACCCTCTTTTTTGCGGGAAAAAGGTGTGTCTTATACTCCAAAAAATACGGGACTCTTAAATTTTGGAAGTAGTAAGCAGCCCTATGAAAAGAGAGGGGGGTAGCTTTGTCTGGTTAAGAGGTCTCCAAAATAAAAATGTCATTCGCAGTTCCATCTACTTTATGGTGCTTGTGGTTTTTGACACATAACCTTTTCATTTGTGAAATCTGTTTCTGTCTTCTGTTGAAGGGGGGGGTGGTGGTGTCCGAAACATGGTTTTTGATCACCACACTATAAAAAAGATGTTGAGACTCCAGAAGTGCAGAGAAGAGCAACCAGGATGATGAGGGGACTNCGATTGAGGAAACAGCAACCAATCACATTTTACAGTATGATTTAAAGGTGGCCCTGGGATGCTGCAACTACCCTATATACATGTGGTCACCAAGTGCCTGAATTTTGACCAGGTGGCTGTGGGGGATGCTGCCTGAGTTACAGGTGGTCCTCGACTTACAATAGTTCACTTACCATTTGAAGTTACGACAGCCCTGGGAAAAAAATGACATAGCCATTTTCCACCCTTACAACCTTCCAGCATCCTCACAGGCACATCATGCTCTGCATTGGGATGCTCGACAATGACTCATAGGTATGATGGTTGCAGTGTCCCGGGGGCAGGGGTGAGTGTCGTGCAATCCCCTTTGGCCATCTCCGGACAAGCCAAGTCCATGGGGGGGAAGCCCGATTCACTTAACAACCGTGTCGCTAATTTTAACCACTGCAGCGGTTCATTTAATGGCTACGGCAAGAAAAGTCTTGATGAAGGTTGCCAAACAAAACAAAAAAACGGGTGCATTCATGTGGCACCTCGCTTAGTGACTGCCGCAGTCCCAATTGTGGTCGTAAGTGCAGGAGCCCATATGTGGTTCAGTCTTGGTGTGTTGGCCTACCTAATCGGACTTTTGTTCTCTGATTGGAGTCACAATATATTGTTGAGCCAGACGTTTGAACTTAGCCTAGTGTACAAAATCAGCCACTTGCAGGTAGTTTTCGACTTACAACAGTTCATTTAGTGACTGGCGTTACAACGGCACTGAAAAAAGTGACTTGCGACTATTTTCGTAGCATCCCCATGGTAGCGCGATCAAAATTCAGATGCTTGGCAATTGACTCGTATTTATGATGGTTACGGAGTCCGGGGGGGGACATGGGACGTGTTCCCCTTTTATGACCTTCTGACAAGCAAAGGGGAAGCTGGATTCATTTAACAACCATAGCAATAGCAATAATAGCAGTTAGACTTATATACCGCTTCATAGGGCTTTCAGCCCTCTCTAAGCGGTTTACAGAG